TCATGGCTATCTCCTTTTCATCTTGTGGGTTCAGCTTAATGCCACTTCCTTAGTAAGTCCTTCCTGAGTCATTCTCTCTAAATAGTGTACTTTTCCTCACCAATTCCACCACGCTTCTTTATCTCAGCACCCTGTCTGCTTTTATAAATAATCCTTCCCATTTCATAATTACTTGTTTAACTGCTATTTTTCTGTCTTCCTTATGATACTATAAGCTCAATGAGGGCAGAGATGATATCCATTTCTTTTATCACTATACAACCAACACCTAGGACAGTCCTGCAGCTAGTTGAATAAACTTGTTGAATAAATAAATACCACAGATAAAGATGGATAATGTGATGAAAATGATTGATTCTTTTTTTTTTTAAAGATTTTATTTATCTGTTTGACAGAGAGAGACACCGCAAGAGCGGGAACACAAGCAGGGGGAAGTGGGAGAGGGAGAAGCAGGCTTCCCGCCGAGCAGGGAGCCCGATGAGGGGCTCGATCCCAGGACCCTGGGATCATGACCTGAGCTGAAGGCAGATGTTTAACGACTGAGCCACCCATGCACCCGAAAATGACTGATTCGTGTGCAGTCTTGCATCACAGAACATTTTAGGACTATAGCATCAAAGTTTTATTCAAGATTTCAAGCATTTGTCGAAATGGATGGAGAGCACTATTTTTGAGGGAGAGTCTTAGGTATATAGTCCATTTTCTACTCCAGTGCCTCTCAACTTATCTATGGTGAATTCCCAATCTATGAGACTTTTATAAAATGCAATAAAACTGAATTATCAAAAACATGAAATAAAAACAAAAACAAAATATAAGCCCACTTGTTTTTATTAACTTTAACATTATTCTGTTAAGTTTTTACTATATATATATATATATATATATTTTTTTTTTTTTTTTTTTAAGAGAGGAAGGGAGAGAGGGGAAGGGGAGACGGAGAGAATCTTAAGCAGGCTCCATGCCCAGTGTGGAGTCCGACCCTGGGCTCTGTCTCCTGACCCTGAGATCATGACCCTGAGATCCTGACCTGAGCCAAAATCAAGAGTCAGCCACTTAACCGGCTGAGCCACCCAGGTGCCCCTCTATAGAACTTTTTAATCAGTTGTCAATGTCTATGCTAATCTCATTAAAGATCATTAACAAAGTTTGAGACCAACATTGGTCTGAGAACTGCACTTTTGAGTAGTGTTTTACTCCAACTTGAATGAATGATGAGGTCATTGGGATTGATTTGTGCACTGTATCTCAAAGCTCAGTCTATCCTCTGTTATAGAAAGAAGAGTTGAAAAGTATTAAAAATAAAACAAAGCTAAGAAATAAAAGTTATAAAATTTATAAAACAGTTGAAGAATTTAGAAGTAAAATAGAAAATTATTAGAAACTAAAGTTCTCATATTGTAGAAATTAAACAGAAAACTAAGTCTCTGTGGTCATGAATATAAATTGCAGGGTGGGAAAATACCTTCCCCAGATACCTTGACTGGAGTTTGAAGGAGGTGAGAGTGGAGAAAAGTCAAATATTACCCTTGGGATGTTCCACAGGAAACAATTGGTTGTTATTTCTATTACTAGTTTGGGTTAATACAGCCTTTTTATCAAAGTGCTAGACACATTATTTCTACCACAATTAGTTTCTCCTAACTCTTCTCATTTTCCTGCCCTAAAGTATTCTGCCTTAATGTTTCGTGCCTCATCCATTCCCACATCCTTATTCTTCTCATTATGTCTCCCCTCCCACTCCACCATTGGCATAGTGCGATGCTACGACTAGACCTAAGTAAAAAGGGAGGAATAACAGTAGCAAAAGCTAGGATATAGGGAATTTAATTCCCACCTTGAGCATTTAGGGAGAAGAGAATGTTCATTGGAGATATGCTATTATTTGCCTTCCTTTGACTTACCACATTACCAAGTTTTTCCCCATGTATTATGCCTTACAGCATTGGTATATGAGAAATTCATTACTTATGCCACTTCAGGAAATGTTATTTGAAATTTGAACACAGGAGTAGACTTTTATAGGACCTTTATAGTATACTTTTATATACTTATACAAATGTATACTTTTATAGTGTATAGAAAGCAGCAGAAATACTTTTAAATCCTTCATCTAACGGAAATCCAACATCCTTCATACTCCAAAGGAATTTAGTCATCTTTCTGAAGATGAAGAGAGATTGGCATGTCTACGCTTACACGTGGCTGTTGGTATGTCCAAAGGTAGGTGAATATCTTACAGTGAATTTTTTCACAATATCTGGCATACCATCCAATCTCAAAGGCAAGTTCAAATCTGGCCTAATTCAATTCCAGCCCTATTTCAGAGCTGAAGATTTAAACTTAAGCTATACCTTTTTGAGCCATACAAGTTCCTAACAAAAAAAAAAAAATCATCCTTTATTTTGGAAGCGGTCTAGAACACTTGTTTACCGCGGTCTCCTCATCTAGCCAACACACACTTGAATTTCTAGATTAAATTGGCCTCTCAAGATTCTTCCAGCTGGGAAAGACTTGCAGTTCAATTGAATTTCTTGTCAGAACTCTGGACCTGAAATTCTAGCATTCGAGTGGCTCTAAGACGGGGTTTCTGGTATGGGGATTGAGTGATGTTAGCTAAAGATGTCTGACACATAATTGTCTAACGCTCTGGCAGACCAGAGTTCCTTTCAGGTTTCCCTTCCCTTTCTTCTCCTTCCTTCCTAAACTCAGCTTGCACAGCTTGCGCTGTTAGAGAGATGTTGGATTTGTAGATTAAGAGAAAGTGATTCTAGAAATAGGAAAGAAAGAGGGGCAGTAGGGTTACCTGCAGCTACCTCTGTCTTCTTTTTAAGCTTTGGAATTCCAGTGGGAATTAGTCATACTCTCATGTCTTATTAGGTTAAATTATTTTTGAGTTTTTAAAAATATACAGAGGATGGGGGATTTTAGGAACAAAATAGGTAACTACTGTTACTGGATATTAATAACTTCTCCCATGGGGTTAAACTCTTTATAAGAATAGTGAGGGCTTCAACTTGTTGCTCCCCTTTCATACTACAGAAAAATGATTTCCTTCTTCTCTTACATTCTTTTCCTGGCAAATTTTGGTGGTAAATAAGGAATACATTTTCGAGTTTTAGTCCTAATACTGGTTATTCCAGTTATTCCACTTGCTCTGGTTTCACAATTCAAGAAATATGGAAGTGATGCAGAGAAAAGACAACAGTGAGGCCTGATCCAGGGTATAACCGACATCAAATTCCTGAATGAACTAAATACACTCTTCCATTCCAGAAACATTAGTGGCAACTTCTCGTGCAAGTAGAGAATGAAAAGAGGGTTTATATCTATTCCTCTAACCAGCTCATAAAGTCCAGAGAATTACATAATATGAGATCATTTAGACACCTTGAAGACCAACTTGGAACTTTTCTTAACTGTTGCACAATAGCAGTCAAATTCTGAGCACCACAACTTGAGAACTGGAAATCTTGGAAAGAGTTTAAAGAGTCATAGTAATTACTAATAACCTTGACAAGTTGTAGAAATGGGCAGATAATTACAGGATGAACTTAATAGACAGAAATATAGAGTAATTTAGAGGAAGAGAAAAATAAAACACTATAAATACAAAGGAGAAGGCTTGGCTTTGTGGGAAAAATGTGGGATTCAGTAAACCACCAGTAAAACATGAGTTAGCCATACGGTACAGTTGCTTTATTATTTTTTATTAATAAAAATAAAAAATTTGTAGAGTACATGCAAGAATATTGTATCTAAGAAAAAGGCAGTAATCCCCTAGTCATCTATGCAATTATTTAGTAACCACCTATCACATCCTAGACACTTTGAGTGCTGGCATAAAATGGAGAAGACATAGGATCCCTACCTTCACGGAGCTCGCTAACGTGTGGCAAATGAGAAAGCTAGTACCTTTAACACTGTCTTTAGTTTGTATTCTGTAGCCAACTTCAAGTACAGCAAATACTGTGAGTTCCTTGAGGTAGGGATCCTATTTTTACATTTGGGATCCCATTCTGTGCCTAGCACAGCATCTTGTAAACAATCAACTTGGATTAAGGGGTAAAAATAAGCCCCCCCCAAAAAAACTAAAATTTGAAAAAGTAAACACTTGTCTGACCATCAAATCTCTTTGGCCCCTAATGTTTGCGAACCTATTACGTGCAGAACAGTTCTCAACACAACGCTTTGTGTATAAAAGGGATGGTAGCAATGGACTCAAGTTGCACACGGTGATAATTGCCATGGGCATTCTCCTGACCGGGTTGACAGCCCATCCTCCGCGAGTTTTTTTTCCCTTCTTTTCTCTTTTAGTCGAAAGACAAAACGCTTAAGCTGTAGCTACAGGGGTGGGACGCGGAGCTTAGACTTGGGGGCACAGCCACCACCAGCTCGCGCGCACTGAGCTCGCTAGGGCAGCTCTGCGGGCGCGGCGGGCCGGCTCACACCCCTGGCTTCTCAGCGCCCGGAGTCTCCGCGCGGACGAGGCGTCCCCCCAGAGGAAAGACAGGGCGCCGCAGACGCCCCTCGGAGTCACCGGCCACCCGCCCCGCCTCAGGCTCCTGTTCCTCTTGCGTTCCCATTGATCAGGCGGGTGTACGTTCCAGAGAGGCCAGTGGGGCGCGATTAGAAAACCAGGCGCTCCACGTCCCCGACCGCATCTAGTCACCCACCCACTCCAGCCCCACAGCCCAGCAGGCCAAGCAGGCCGGACGCCGAGGCCTCGCGGTAACGAGCCTCCATCCGCCCCGCCTCCTCGCCCTCCAGCCGGCCCCGCCCTCGCACTCACCCCTCCCCCGCTCCCGCCTCACTTCCCCGGCAATCTCCTCGCGCTCCCGGCCCGGCACGCGCGCTGCGCCCGGCCGCCGCTGCCGCCGCCGCCGCCGCCGCCGCCGCCGCCGCGGTCGCCGCGGTCGCCGCGGCGGAGCGTTTCTCCGCGGTGCCTGGCTTCCAGCTTCGGGCCGGAACCGGAAGTCTGGGGGGCGGGGCCGGCGGAGGCCAGGGGACCGAAAACGCGGCCGAGCCCGGAGCCCGGAGCCGGAGCCAGAGCCTGGACCAGAACTTGGCCGCCGCTTGCACCGCTGCCGCCGCCGCCGCCCGCTGCTCCTTCCCTGCGCCACAGCTGCCTCGGCCGGCACGGCCCCGAGCTCGGCCGCCACTGGTCCGTGGACTTTGGGTGTCCGGGTTGAAGGTCGGTCCGGACGTCGGACCCAGCTCGGTTCCCGGACTGTCCGGGCGGCAGCGGACGCCACCGCCGCCGCCTCCTCGTCGCCTCAGCCTGGCGTTTTGTTCCGAGAGACCCGAGAGGCGAGCGGAGCTGACAGTGATTTTGACAGTGATTTAAACCCGCTTTTGTTGTTGTTGGCTTTTCGTTGTTTGGTTTTGTGTGTTGTGCGTGTGTGTGGCGGTTTTCCCCCCGTGGTGCCTTTTTTTTTTTATTGTTGTTCTCTCTTTCCGCCCCCCCCCCCTTTTTTTTTTTTTTTTTTAACCCCGTGAACGTTTTTTTGGTCGGGGCTTCCGAATATGTTTTATGACGGTTGATTTTACACCAGGAGGTTTGTCTCCGAGGAAGACCCAGGGAACTGGATATCTAGCGAGAACTTCCTACGGATTCCCCGGCGCCTCGGGAAAATGGGAGCTGCTGCAAAGTTGGCGTTTGCCGTCTTTCTTATCTCTTGTTCTTCAGGTAGGTGCATGGAGAGCGGCGCGGCGGGGCTGCTGCTTGCCGCTGCTGCCGCCGCCGCTGCTGCTGGCGGCCGCGGTTGTTGTTGGCCGCGGTTGTTGTTGGGTCGGCGAGCTCCAGTGGAGCCGGGGGACGTTTTTCCCGACCCGGAGCCCCTCGGCTGCGACCCCCCAGGTCTGATTGTGATCTGGAAATCTCCATGAATTTTTCTCGTTTTGAGTTACGTTGGCGAGCTGATAAGAGTGACTGCTCTGTTGTGGAAGTGAGAAAGTCATGGTTTGTGGCCGTAACATTGGATGACAGCGCTGGTCGGGTTGCAGTTAAGCCACAAATACCACAAGTGACAATCTGTGCAAAGGTTTGAGACCCGAAAGGCGTTTTCCAAAATGTCATTTAGTGTAGCATTCTCGGAAATAAGGGTGTTTTATTTTAATCGTCTTTTAATTAGTGCTTCACCAGTGACTATCACGACAGAGATCTAGCGAGTTATTACTTAATTTTGACCGTGAGAAACAATGCATCATATCAGCAATTTCATCTGGGTCTCCCCTTACGTTTTCTTCAACTTCACTGTCCAGCAGTGTTAAAAATAGTTGTAGTTGTTGTTGTTGGAGTATTAACAATAACCCAGCGCAGAAGAGGTATGCCGCTGTGTGTTGGTAATGTGCTGGCTTTCAACCACCATTTATGTCCTCTTTTCTGGCATAGATTTTGCTTACCTACGGAATACTTATTTTAAACGCGTTGTATTGAAGCATTGTTTTTGGTTTAGAGCAGCCATTTGAGATTGTTCATACTGTCAAATACATTATAGTCATAAAATAGGTTTTGGCCCAAGGCTGGAAGAATAATTTGGTCTCTTTATATTTGAAATTTTGATTTTTGTGAGAACGTTCTATGCTTGCAACCAGTGGTTGGAAAACTGTCTAGTCTTTTGTATTTGAAATTCTGTAAATGAATACAACCTAGCTCAAAGGTGTGCAAATGTACATAACAGGAGAGTTGGTATGATAGATGAAACAATTTTAAAGTCGCAATGGATCTGTTTATCATAAAATTAAATATTCAGTTACTAGGTTGTGAGAGAGAGAATTATAGGGGGGGAACGAATTGACAGGTTTCATGGCCATGTCTTTATCTCATTTGCTACAGGGAAATCAGAGGGTGTTAGTCTTTTCTTTGTGTACCTCTGTGGTGTGTGTGTGTGTGTGTGTATGTGTGTGTGTCCATCCTCCCAACCCCCTCTTTTAATAGAATCTTTTGTAATGTATAGAATTTTGCTGAATGGTACATTTCCTTGTGGTTAATAAATGGATAAAGTCTAGTCTTATGTCTGTGGTGGTATTGATCAGTTCCGGGTGGGCTAAATGTGTTGTGAAATGGCGATCATTGCCAGAGATTAACCAAAGAATCATGTCTGTTTAAATGGAAGAAGGAACATGCTTAAGGCATGCTGACAGTTCTTTTTGTGCACGGTTTGGGGAGGAAGATAAACAATGGTGTCTGTGAAATGAATGAATACCTTGATAACATTAAACCCCTTGCTTTTGTGACATGACTTAACTGTGTAGTTTTTTATTTTTCCGGTAGTACTCTCTCTCCTGTGTTCCTGTATGTTCTGGTTGGTGAACTCCTCTTTTTCATATCCCTTTCTCTGATCTCCTGCCCTTGAGGAGGAGGGGCATCATGGCTACTGACCAAGGAATTGTGGACATTATTCCCTCCCAAACCCACCTGAGTCACACTAATTGGTGAAGGAGGTTATTCTTGAGCAGTCTCAAGGTACTACTTCTGGAGAAGCAGGCTGTCGCTACAGATCTTACAGCTTCCTCTGCTTGGTTTAGAAGTAAAGAGAATCGAGCATTAGTTTTTTGTAGGATTATTTTCCGTGGGCCAGGAGATTAATGGCTAAAATTTTGAAATACAGTAATTTTCTTGCTATAGAGCATATACATATATAGCACGCAGAATTACATAAAACTGATAATAAATATTGTTGCATAGTTTTTTTTTCAAATAATTCCTAGTTGAACTAAAATATAATTCTATTGAAGATAATTGAAATCATCTTAAAGACTTTAATCCACATTTCTGTATGAAGATTTTTAGTACTTAAAATATCTGATTTTTTAAAAGGCTTTTGTTATGAATCAAATGAACTCGAAAAGATTATTATATTTCTTTTCCTAATTGATTTTTCTATGTAATATGTAATCTGGCATGCTGGAAGCATCAGAATGGCTATTTTTATGAGAATTTAAAAATTTCTCAAGTTGTCGGTTTTTATTCCTGGCTATTTGATTTCTTTTTTTTAAGCGAATGAAAGATGGTAGTAAAGAGCTGTTGTATTTCAGGTTTTTAGGATGGATGTTTACTGTTTTCTTTAGTATTTTGCAGACTTTGATTTTTCAGTTTCCATCCCATGGTATATATACTGGAGGCTCTTTTTGCAGACTATTCCTGTAGGATATGGCCAAGTATGTAATTTCTTAATGTAATTCCAAGGGAAGCATTTTTGAGTTTTGCCCTCATCCTCAAATGCCTACAGATTTCTTCTGTATTTGAATTTTTTAATTCTTCTTGTCCTTCCTCAAATTTTGTTTCAAAACACAAATGTATTTCTTAGATTATTTTTGTTTGTTTTTAAGGCATTGTGGCTAATTTGTATCTTTCTTCACCATTTGTTAAACTGTGAGTTTGATACTTGCTCTAGTACTTAGGTTTACCCTACCTAGAATGATGCAGCTATTGTATTTGAGTTGCACTGAATAAGTTGAGAATTTGTTTGGGTTTCTGTGGGAACTGGAGCAGTTTGGTCCATATAGTTGATGAAATAAGAAATGGAAATAAAGTAATTATGTGTATTTCCTTTACTTCAGCTAGGCAATTGTGTGTGCGTGTGTTCACGCGCTCCTGTGTATGTTTCTGTGAGTGAGTATATGTGCGGTTGGAGGGAGAATTGGCAGTGCAGTGACTCTTCTGGGACTCGGCTGAACTTTGGCTAATAAGTGATAGTTATTAAATGCTTTGTTTTCTACAGGCAGAATTTCTTAAATGTAGTCCGTGATCAAATTCAAATACAATATATTGGAACATCAGACTTCTCCCCCACCAATTCTTGTTGAATTTTTTTCTATTTATAAGCCAGTAGTTCTCAAGCTTGGGTGTCTTTTGCTCCCTGCCCCTGCACCTCTTCCCCAGGGAACATTTGAAGACATTTTTGGTTTTCACAACTCTGGAGGATGGTATGGCTGCTGCTAATCATCCCGTAATGCACAGGACACCTTACACAGTAAAGAGTTATCTGGCTTAAAATGTCAATAGTGTTGAGGTTGAGAAGCCTTATTTTAAACTCTTCATTTTTAAAAGTATTAGTATATTAGTAAAAAGGTCCTGCTTCCCACTCCCACAGTCAATCATCCAAATTTTACAAGGATATGCTATTGATCTTCAGGTAACTTTGTATTGAGAGCTTTCATCTTTTCATTATCTTTTAAAATTAGAATGATTATATTAGAAAAACAGACTGTAGGTGTACACATTATTTCATCTTAATGTACATTAATAAAAATATTTTGCTGAGTTATGAATAAACTCTCCAAACCCATTGTTTTGCTATGATGGAGAGCCCATGAAAACTGTATATTCCTGAATAGGATGAATAATTGGTCAAAGTATCAGGTTTAATTATATTTGCTTTTGATCCAGTAGTCTCTCTGCTGTGATAATCATCTTTAAGGATATTTCCTTTTATCCTTATTAAAATCATTGTCTGGACTGTGTGGTGGCAGCAGGGTTGTGTGTGTGAGAGAGAGAAAGAGGGAGAGACAGATCAACATGGTGCAGGAAAGTTTTGTAAGTTTCGTATGGAAGAACTATGTACACTATTACATGTCCCTGAAAGGTTTCAGAGTATAAAATCAGGTTTTTTTTAAAGGATATTATTTCTTCTTCTTTTCTTTTAGCTAATTTTAATTTGAAGAAAGTTTTCAAGTGGTTTCCTAATTACATAATTTTCTGGAGAATCATTGGCTGGTTTTTGGTTATCATTAGACTCGTTTAGGCTATACTAATTAATATTCTATGATCTATCACAGACCCTTGTCCTTTTTAAGGTTAAAATTTGACCATAATTAATTAGTGCTTACATTGTTTTGAACTCTGGTTTTAAGGAAGTGAACTCAGCCAGGATAAGAATTAAAGTGAAAAAGTGTAAGTAACATTACACCATTGAAAGGAAAAATTCTGAAATCACTCCCACAAAAAGTATGCAAATAAGCCTCATACTATCTTGGTAACACACCTCTCCATACATATATATCTCTGGTACTACTGACATCTTCACCTTTTGGGTTCACTGTTTCATAAGAAATAAAGCATAACTAAACCAAATGAGATTTTAATAATCTCTAAAGTTCTTTAGATTCTAGAACTATTTTGTTGCTCTTTTACTTTTGTAAGCAGTGTACTCTTACTTCTCATCTTCGATGTCTCAAAAATCTGTGGATTATATTTGTCTTTTCATGCTTTCTTATGTTGCCACTTGACCTGCATGGTTCCTCTTAGATAGTAAGTTAGGTAAGGTTAGCAATGAATGATACTAGAGTCACTAGTACTCTTTCACTTTTTATTCCATATTCTATAACTCATAATTTCTTCCATTGCCTTTCATTATGCTTCCCATTCCACTTTATGCCTTCTTTGTTTATTCTTTTTTCCTTCTTTACGTCCCTGTATTGTAGCTTGCTTGTGGAACCCACTTGTTGCTTAGCATCAGAGGTAGCTCAAGAGGGCTCACACATGGTTTAAATGAAAACAGATGCAATTTAGAACGTTTAAGAATTGACCAGATAGTCTTTTCCACTGTTCTCTCATTTGTTGGTTTCTGGAATACCACACACACACTTGGGAGTAGTGTTATTTTTTGGAATCAAATGGCTTCAACTGTAGAGTGCTCTTACACTCCCCCCACCCAACTTTTTTTGATGCGGGGAGGGGCAAAG